ATATGCCTATGATAAAAATAATGCCCTAAAATATAATACTTTTAGACTATTCTCTCCCCCATAGACTTCAATGCCGTAAACATATTTCATCCAAGTCACTTTTAAGACAACAGTGACAGTTCTTACTCTATGTCCAGAAGATCTACCAAGGGACCAATAGTCTTGACAGGTTTGTGATTGTCAGTAATTCACATGTTCAATTCTGATTGAGTAGTAGGCCTGGAGTGTTATATGAAGCTCACACATACCTTTATATACATATGTGTATATGTGTTACATGTATGTTTATATATATGTTCTCTGGTTACAATGCATTGATACATAGCTCCGTGTAAAACCTTTATAAGAATGATTTATGCATAGAAGAAAAAAACCTTTTATATGAATGACTATGTCATCAAAACAGAGCAAGGAAATACTGCATGGCTCAACACTGGGAAGGGTGTGCATCAAGGATGTGTCCTATCTCCATATCTTTTCAGTGTATATGTGGAACAGTTTACCCGGGAGACTGGGCTCTATGAGGAGAAGTATGGCATCAGGATTGGAGGTTGACTCATCAACAATCTGCATTATGCAGATGACACTACCTTGCTTGCTGAAACAGGAGAACCTGAAGCACTTGCTGCAGAAGGTCAAGAACTGCAGCCTTCAATATGGATTGAAGCTCAACATCAAGAAAACAAGGATTCTCACCACTAGATCTATTGGTAACATCATGATAGATAGTGAAGAGATTGAGATTGTTGACAGCTTCAGTTTCCTTGGCACTACAATCAATACTCTTGGTACTAGCAGCCAAGAAATTAAAAGGTGAATTGGCATTGGGAGAGTCTGCTGTCAGAGACCTCTCCAAAGTACTGAAGAGCAGCCATGTCAGTCTGGAGACCAAGGTGCACCTGCCATAGGCCTTGGTCTTTGCAGTTACTTGATATGCATCAGAGAGCTGGACAGTGACTAGGAATGAGAGGAGAGTTGATGCCTTTGAACTGTGGTGCGAGAGAAGAATAGTGAATATACTGTGGACTTGTAAGAGAACAAACAGATTGGTCCTGGAGAGAGTGAAGCCAGGCTGCTCCTTGGGGGCAAGGATTCTGAAGCTTCATCTGACATACTTTGGACATATTGCAAGGCAGGATCAGTCATTGGGAGAGGGACTTCATGCTTGGGAGGATGGAGGGACAGCACAGGAGAGGAAGACCCTCGATGAGATGGATTAATTCTGTGACTGGGGTAATGGG